TCCACAGGAAAGTGCCATTGCTCTGGTCCTCGCTGCCTGCTGTTTGCAGCATGCTATTTGCACAATATTGTTTCCCTCTTGGACAAGGAAGTCTGGGCAGTGGTGCAGGTAAAAAGTCTTCAGTCTCAATTGAGAGAGACTGCTGAGAGGCTGTTGTCAATGATACAGCACCAGCTCTGAATTTTTTTCACTTGATCCCGATTAGACGGAGTGAATTGCAGATTGTGCCTGCATTGGCGCGAGGTAGACACGTTGTAGTTCCAGCTCTGGGATTTGTTTTCTGTTCTGAAGGATGCCACACTTTCTCCATGCTAAACTAAACTGTCATGCATTCAGCCAGCGCATGGGTCTGATCAGGTTTTAGGGATAACTTTATACCTAGTTAATGTTCATCAAGCAACAGTCAGCCAGCCAGCCAATGCTACCCTTCCAAATGGCACGGGAAAACTCTTTGTAGTGGCTAAACTCTGCCACCTTTCTCAGCCATATCAGACAATGAGGATTTTTTGTCTCCACTTACAAAAAATGCACCTTTACTTTCGATCCCTAATGCATTTGATTTCATTTATGTGTATTGTGTTCTTGTAAACTACTGCTAAGGTTTTGGAGACGATGCTATTTATCAGGCAGGTACGCTGGGAAGATGGCAAGTTCCACAATTCCCTGGCCATCCTCAGAAATGTTATTGCCAGTAAATAATTAAAAAAAAACAAAAATGAGCTGCTCTCAGGAGTTGGAGACCTTCAGGGATAACTGTGTAGAAGAGGTTTTGGCTGCATGCAAGACTCGTGTTTCTTGGACAAGGAAATGGGCCAAAAGAGGTTCTGTGGAATAATCTGTTTTCTTTCGCATGAACACAGCGTGATTAGGAGACATTCCTGATTGCAAGATTATGTATATTTCTGTGGCTTTTTATGGAGTGTCAAGACACTTGTCTTAAGTGTTGGTTGAGAGTTTTCAGAAGTTAGAGCTGAAATTCTGGCACCTAATTTTAAGTGAGACTTCTACCTTCTGGCCGCAAAGCACATTAAGACACTTTTTCTCCAAGGGGACCTTAAGTCCAAGTGACCTTCAGGCACATGTACAGAACTTAAGATTTCCCAGTTCAGTGTATGAAGTTGCTTGAAACTAATGAGGACACGAGTAGTCCCGAGAGGCGTTAACTTTGTGGTCTGGTAGCAGCTACGCATTTTAAATAAAGTCTAGATACTCTCCTCATCATAAAATAGCCTGTGAAAAAGGTGAATAGCTACTGTACAATTCTGTAGGTGGACAGTAAAATCCATCTTCTTAGATGGTAAGAAAGTGCGGATGGGCTCTCGGTCCTTCACTTCCTTTTGTTTCATCAGTGAATGCTGCATACAGAATAGGTGGCTGAGTCTGAAGCCTGTCTCTCTCATGCTATGATACCTAATTCAACTCCTCAGTCCTTTATTACTAGCCACATTTGCTCTACCATTTAATCCGTTTTCCCACGTTGTTATCCACTCTGCCCCACTGGCAACCAAAGGGACTAGACAGAGTGATTGCTTTTCAGGCAACTTGGAATAAAAAAAGTCTTTTATCTGTAGTCCTGCTGCTTGCAAACAAATGCACAGTGGACACAATGAGACTGTTTGACATGTCAGAGGTCTATTTCTTTTTCTTGGAAAAACATCTAATGTTCCCCTGTTTAAACCAAAAGAGAACATACATTATCTGTGGCCTGCTTTCTATTTCTTAAACAAAAAACAGCTGGTACTAGTGCTTGCCTTTAGGAGGAGACCATCAGGAAGTTGAAATATCAAATGTTGGCTCTACTTAGTTGCCACGGTGATGTATAATTAACCAGGCTGCAGTAATGTTATAGAAAGTAAACATAAGGAAATATTCTTGCTAATGGAAAAATTTAAACCATAGTTTTAAGTAAGACTGAAGGGACTGAAGATTAAATTTTAATTGATAATTTGCAATTGGACATGTATGTTTGCATTTATATTGTAATTTGATCAAAATAGTAACATTGTGTGGTCAGAAATAAATTTAAATGAGTCTGAAAGAGAAAAAACAGGATTCTGAGACACGTTATTGATGGTACAGTCTTTGTCAGAGATTGGCGTTTCATTGATTTGTGGGGATTTGTGGGTTTTTTTTTTCCCTTCTTGTTGCTAATAGGATTCTATTTGAAAAACAATACATTTCCCCATAAGGTATCCAACAAGAAATGAATAGAGAGAAAAAAGTTTTATTTGGAACAAATGGGAAATTGGATAAAGGCAAACCATTCAGTGTTCACCTCTTGCAGCCGATACGCAAGCACCTTTTCCAAGTGGTTATGACACTGATGCAGAGTAATTTGTTTGTCTAAATACCTTTCTTTAAGTGGTAATTGTTAAATTATCCTAATGTATTTTAAACCAGGAAAGTTGAATGTACCTTTGGAAGGCCACACATTCCAAAAGAAATTGATGTGCCGTTCCCCAGACCCATACAGGAGGAAGTTTCAGTCTGTTTGTGAGGTTTACGAGAGAGATGAGTTTAGGCATGGGATGCTGTTAAAGAAATAAAACTGTGGAACATTGTCTATGAGATACTTGTGTGCTGAAATGTGGGTCAGGAACAGTGGGATAAAGATTATGTACTTTTGGGAATCCTATTCCTTGCAGTATCTCTCAAAGAAACACTTCATGTGCAGCAGTCCGAACAGATGTACAGCGAAGGGGCTGCTCAGTAAAACATAGCTGGGGTAGAAGCATGCACCTACTGACCCTGATAGGATGGGGGTTAACCCTCTAAGAACTTTTGTTCGTTCTCTGCATTTGGCCATCTTGCTCTTCAGAACTTTGTTTTAGACTCTGAAGGATGTTACTAAAATCAAGACACCATGTGTACTTAGTAATAGGCCCTGAGAAGTTTTTCTGGGCCTTATCTTCTGTTGATAAGATTAGTGTAATACTTTCTCTTCTAGAAAGCTAAAAGCAATAAGCGACCTTCAACTTGTTTAAAACTCTGCCATAAGTACTGTCGGAGCATATGTTACTGATTAGAGCAGCAGTTCACCTGCTACATCTCTTAATAAAAAATAATGCTATTGCGTATTGTCATTTAAGTCCCATTATTCTTCACCTTCAAACTTACTCAGTTCTCCTGACAAATTTTAATATCATAGTGCTTGTATGTGCTCCATGTGCATTATTCCCACTGACTTGAGCAGAAGGCAGTGAAGGTTGCTCACTTTGGCACTGCAGAGTGCTGAGCACTCTTGGCTCGTGTTGACTTCTCTGACAGCGGAGGGTATGCAAGGAGTACGTCTCATGGTCAACGCTTGTTTGTCACACAGTACGCTGAGTAGAAAGATGCTTTGATGAATGAGCCTGAACATGTTCCCACCCCTTCTGCTGTAACTTAAAGGACATTGTCTTTCTACTTTCTGAATGGCTTGTGTTCACTCAGAATTGCATCTTGTGATGAAATTAGCATTGGGTAAAAATGTATTTCTTTCTGTCATTTTGTAATTTCTCACTTTTCAGTTTGATTCAGTGAACTTTTAGTTGGTGTGGCACAAAAATGTGCATAGAAGTACCAATTCATTTCCAGTAAAATGCCCAGGTAGTTCCTTCACATCATGTCCTCTTTTCTTACTGACCAGGATGCGGATTCCTGAGGGCCCCCTCACGTTTGAGCGCTGTATAAAAATAGTAGCTCCTGAAGTTACAGTCACTGTCAGATTATTGATAGGGGGATGGGAAGGTTTGGCATTTTGGTTCAGAACACAAGGAAAAAAATATACATCACAGAACAAGTGGTTTTGCCCATATTTGCAAGAAGAGTGCAATATTTCATCTGAGGCAAAGTCTAAAATTATGTTTCCCCGTTTGACAAGGTCCCATTAAAAAGGAGCCACTTCAGCAAAGCACCAGTGTTTACTTTGTTCCTTAACATCTCCTATGAAGCATTTGATTGTAAAATTAAAGCAATCCATCCTTTCGAATTTAGTTTTTAATATTTATTTGGCAGATCTGACCTCGCAAGGGGGCCCAATACCCTAAGCAGCCGCTCTTGCTGCTGTCTGACCAAGGAATAACGCTGGAGTGAGCTGTGAAAGCAGCTTCTTGCCTCCATCTTCTCCACAGGAAATGCATTGGTTGTTGCCAAGTGCAAACACTGGTGTTATTTCACACATTTAGATTGCTTTCAGGCAGAAAATTGTTGCAGATTCAACATACAGTTTTTTAAAATATGCTAATATTCAGGTAAAATTGGCATTCTTATGGTTGCTAAGAGGCTGTATCGAAATCCTATTCCACTCCGACTGCAGCATTGCTAGCATCAGATAGCTTACACGTTATATATCCTGTATATTACAAAGATTTGCTTGAAGTTCAGGACTTAACAAGCATAACACAGAAGGACTTTTGTACAAAGCTTGAAGAGTTAGTCCTTGGCCTTTGGCCAGGAATAAAGAATGCTTGCCCTTGTGCCATTTTGTCCTGTGCTGCTCCAGTTCTGGCAGCGGTTCTGCTTCAGTGTAATTGTTGGCACTGGAGCTCAGCTGAACCCTGAATGGCCTCTTCCTGCAAGCAAGCAGGGGTGCAGAGGTCTGAGGCGGCATCAAAACTCCGTATTGATCAGCTGTAATAGAGGACTCTATTATGAGAACTCTTCATATCAGAGCCAAGCAAATTGACTACGGCAATGCCGTAGTAAAGTACTAAAAAAAGCCATAAAGAGTGTGAAGTAATTTTCAGTTTTTCCACGGGATAATGGAGGGGCTAAAAGAATAAGAGAACAAACAGCTCCTTCTGGGACAGTCACTGTTTTGGCTATCTGCAGTTGTTGATCTCTCCTTCCTATCTGTGCTAAGTAGTAGTTGAGTTTCTCATTCTCGTCTGGACCAGACACAGAGCATAGTCACAGCTTTAAGTGATAAAGTGTTTTTTATTGTTTGCAAAGGCTTGCTTATTCTTTTTTATTCTGCTTATTGTTCTTTAAAAAAAAACTTTCCCATTTCATTGAGGCAGATTTGGAAGTCAAACCAGAAACTTCAGACTCTACTACGATGGAAAGCACTTTGTTGGGGAGAAACGTTTTGAGTCCATCCATGACCTGGTGACAGATGGATTGATTACTCTTTATATTGAAACGAAGGCAGCTGAATACATTGCCAAGATGACAATAAATCCAATTTATGAACACATAGGATATACAACTTTAAACAGAGAGCCAGCACACAAAAAACATATGCCAACCCTGAGGGATGAACATGATGGCAAAGAGTCTACAGGAGAGGATGAGGTAGCAGAAAAGAGGGTAAGCAATTGTTTAACCCACACTTTTTTTTTTTGTTAGATTTTTTATTTTGTACTTTTAACCCTTCCCCTCTACTATAAAGTGCTAAAGGTATCTGTAGATATTTAGTCTACAATTTACTTCCAGTATTGCATTATTAATAATATTTTAACTGGTTATAGGGGTTTTTAATGGTAATTTTTGCATATTGCAAATTTCTATGATTTGGAGGTTAGTTATTTATCATTGTGAGGTTCCTTTCTTCAGATATTTTCAGAGTTATAGAAACAGTGGCTTACCATTAAGCCACTCCTTTATTTCAAACGGGCTAAGAATATTTCATCTTAAATTGTTTACAGTGTCTAAGACAACTGTCCTTTGGTCAAAAATTATATTTCTTAATATATTCAGCATTCCCCAAACAAATGCATTCCATAATCTATTCAGCAGTCTGCATACAGTGACAGTAGAGTTGTCCACATTATAAATAAGCCTGTTCATTAAGATGATAAAATGTTAAAACATTTCACTTGGCTAAGTTCAGCCTGTCAGAAGCTGACAGAGCTATTTTTGGCCTCAGCCAGACTTATGAAGAAGGATTGCTCTCTTCAGAGAGTTGCAGTATCAGCTGAGAACTAACTGTGTCCTGGATTATAAAAGAAAAACGAACAACAAAGAAATCTTAGAACCGGTGAAAATAGAAATATTAAAGGAGGTTGGGAATGCATCAGGCAGACAAAGCAGCTGCCTGAAACTTCATTTGGGTGACAGAGACTAAACTTAGAAAGAAAACATAATGTAAATTCCATCATGTTAAACTAAATACTTTGTTTATTGAAAAGCTGACATATGAAAGTCTTTTTAAAGTGTATTTTTATGTATGTGTAGGTGTTAATGCATGTGTAATAGTCTGATATGCTCCCCTGTTTCACAAAATTCAGAATGACTTAGGAGTACCTAATGTGCTTAGAAGAAATGCTAACCTTAGCTGGGATCATCTATTTGTCTTTCCAGTCAGAAATATGTCTGTGATTTTAGTTTTTCTTGAGGTGGAGGAAAGGTTTCACTGACAATTTCCAGCATACATGCCTATTACAGTGAAACTAAGCTCCATACAGAGTCCACAGAGAGAGGAGGCTCATAGCTTTGGTCCTTCAAATCCTTTGCCATCAGAATCTTCATCCTGCACTGAATTTGCTGAGAGGTGAAGCACCCAACTTAGGTTAAAGTATGAATCTTCACTGTTATCAGATCATTTTGACAACAGAAATAGTGGTGGGGATATTGATGCTAGCTGACCACATTAAATATCCAATTTCTTGCCTGTTAGGTACCAGTAGTAGAGTGGTGAGTTATCAGTTACAATTCCTGACAGCCATTAACTTGCTGTTTCAGAAGGATTTTTTTGCATGTTGTCATAAAGGGTTCATTATAATGCAAAGCCTGGGTAAAAATCTTCTGTAAGAGTTCTGGAAGTCACTGCTTTGGGTTTCTTTCGTAAAATTAACTCTTCCTGGATTTAGCCACTTTCGAGTGACAACAGAACTCTGTTCTGTCACATCATTTTTTTAGACTGATGAAAAAGTTCTCATAGTAAAGGGATTTCAATGATTATTATTGAAGAATGCTGTTTTTTCCATAGATTACATGGTGTTATGTCAGACTCATCAACAAGGTATGCCTATTGTTTTGAAACATTTTTCATTAAATAGCTCAAGAACTGTTAAATATTTCTCACAGATTGAAATTTTGGGTGAAAAACCTTTAGAGAGGTCAGTCGTGTAATTGCAACATCCCACCCCATTTGTCTGGAAGTTATAAGCAACTAAAGTGGCTTCATCTGCAACATAGTTCAACAGCAATGGTGTTTACTGGCCTGAAGCCCAGCTTTTGAGCCTTTTCTCTTTATTTGACTTGGAACCATGTTGATGTGGACACAATGAGGCACACAGACATCACAGTACAGTTAAATATGGAGATTTCAGTTTAATTTTCAAGTCATTATCCCTTTGGGATTACTATCCACGGCTGCATGAGGAAGGCACAGTGTGATCCTTTTTACTGTGGAGTGGCGCAGAGGTGACATCTTTGCTGCTTTTACACCTCTCAGGGCCTTTGCTGGAAGACGACACAGAGTCCTGAGTGTCGCTTCACCCAGTAAATCTCCAAGGGGAATAAGGCATTCAACACCATGACCAACACCTGATCCCAGTAGCAACCTCAGCATTTGGAACAAGCCCCAGCATCCAGCTAAGGCTTGCCAAATCCTTTCTCCCTCCTCTGTAAGTCATAGGATGTTGGGAGCATGGGAAGGGGGAGAGATATGGTGGTGGCCTTGCTGAATGTCTCATGGGGGGTGGTGCTAAGAGCAACGTAGGAGTGGTGGGGAGAGGAGACCTCAGAGGGCTTTCCCAAGTGTCTCCCATCACTGTCTGGGGGACTCGACTACTTGCACACCCACTAAAGCTGTCACCAGCTGACAGCCTGGGAGAACTGTTTCAGGTTCAGTGGGGTGAACATAACTGACTGCCTGGAGGACTGTACAAGTGGGTGACTGAATTACATCTAGTGGTTAATTTTATAAAAAAACCTGAAATAATGAGATATATACTTGATTGGCAAATAATTTGCATTTAAAGCATGAGTACTGCATGACAGGAAATATTTCTCTGGCTTTTTTAAAAGCCTACCTACTATAAAAAGTTAACATGCTAGCACGAGGAACAATGGAGAGATTACATCTCCACTTAAACAGAAGACCCAATCTCTCTGCTAGTTTATAAGTTTTCTTTGGTCAAATAATAATAATGCAATAAGAAAAATATACATATCCTCTACTAAATTGCTCAGAAGGTCATTTTATCCTTTTTGTGCAGGCTCCTGCTTCTTACTGATACTTACTTGAAAACTTCAATTAATAATAACATAGTATTTACCTTATTATGAATCATTTAACCATGATATAAGGAAGCTTTCTTATAGGACATTTATAAATAGGTCAAGTAGTTTTTCTTTCTCTTTGGTGGGAGGGATGGCAGAGTGATTCCTGTTGTCCAATATAAAGAGAAAGTCACTGAATCGATATTGACATTTCTAACAAAGAACGCAAAGAAAATTGTCCAAAATCCAACAAGAAAAAAACATTGTTTTGTGATCCAAACAGCAAAATCTGTGTACTACAACATTAGCCCATTAGCCCCATGGTGAGGATGAAAATTTCTGCAGGGCACAGTGTTTGGCAATTAATGCATCTTTATCAGTTTTATACTGTAGCCACACAGCTTCTCCCTGCACTGAATGCTTCCTCCTCCGAAAAGAGAGGAAGAAGTCTGGGTCTTGATCATCCTGAGCCAAAATACGTTCCCACATTTGCAGACTCTGAGGCTGTTCAGATCCAAATCTAAACTTTGTGCCTGCGACTATTGCCCAATTCTGTGTGGGTGGTGTATGAAAGATAAACCCTTCAGAAGAAGAAAAGGAGAGACACACAGGCTCTGACTGGGGAACAGCTGGTGGGAATGTAGTCTTGCTTTCTGCCATAAAATCAAGTGGAGAAAATTGGGCAGCCGGAGAACACACCTCAAACTTGAGAATGAAATATTAACGAGCACTTCACCTAGCCTTCAATTTGGTGTGGAGCAGTAGCAGGGAACGCCACAGATTTGTGTTAGATGCCTCCCAGCATGCACTAATAATACTTTATTTGTTCCCACTCTTTTCAGCAATTAATTTATAGTAGAAGAATTCAGCGTGTGTTGGGTTACTTGTCATATGCAATACATTAAAAATGAGCCTTAGTAAAGGGGAAGGATTTAAAGACCGTAAAAGATGAAAAGGCAAAAATTATGCAATCGTTAGATGAGGATTGTAGGACACAAATCTCAATACCTCTAAGTACTGAGTCCTCCAAGAGACCATACTGTGGTGTGATTTAAGATGCAGTTTTTAATAGGAAAAGCATGAGAATATAATCCACTGCGCAGCATGTGCTTCACTGATTATGAGAAGGAATTTGAGTGCTTACCGTATAGAAATATATTTTAAAAATTAAAATTCCTGGTTAATGATTTTCATAACCTATGAAAGAATTAATAAATTGTCAAAGATAACTGGAGGAGTGGAGATTGAAAACAGGAAAGTGCTTGTCATGCTTGAATGCCCTGAATAGATATTTTAGCTGCCGTGCTAAAAAGGTAATGCTGGTTCCCAAAACAGTCTGCAGATTGTTCAGAACTCAATTGTGCAGCCATAGTGGTCTGTGTGTTAAGAGAGGGCTAAGATTAATTCGAAAGAGGGCTTCCCATGTGATTCAGTCTGTATGGCCTAGTGTGGAAGTGGAAATAATACCCAGTATCACAAGATTTACTATTCCTCACATGCCTTGAATACTGATGGATCTCTGAACATTCTCCACTCTCAAAGGTAATTATGGCCTGGGAGCAGATTACTTGATTCAGTTAAATACCTTATAAAAGTGGTAGCTCTCAGAAATAAATAAATACCTAGATACATATATCAAAGTCCTTCCTGAAAGCCCTGCAAAACATTTTTTTTTCATTTTGACATGCTTTTGAGATATTAATGTAAGAAGTTGTATGAGTGATTTATTCAAGATTTAATACTTGTTACGAGAAAATGAAATAATCAGTTATAAGTTATCCCATCTTTCAAAATGAAATGCTGAGGTTAATGTTAGGATAGCAACTGAATTACATTTATTCATGTTTACTTTGGTGATAAGTGCTATTTCTTCAAGAAACTCCAGTGGTTGCAAATCAATTAAAGACGCCTTCTAGACTGTACGGTGTTCAGTTCAATTCCTACAGACAGAAAGAATTGAGAGAAGGTTTGTGGCAGCAGTCACCCAACAAAAGCACTCTTTCGTTCTATTTTTAATGACCTTAGTGTTGATACTATTTTTTCCTCCATAGTGATGAAGGCTGATTGTCTGCAACCCTGTGCAAGGAGATCTGGAAATGTAAATCTGTGTCATTTTAGTAGGAAACATGCTTTTAAGCCTG